GGGTATTGGGCGCAAGTCCGGTCGCCCTGCGACCGGGGCAGCCTGCGTCGCGGTGGTCAGCTCCGTGGGTTCGAAGCCCGTGTCGGAGGAGTCTGGTAGGGGCTGAGGGGTCGGTTTCGCTCCCCCACCCCCGCTCCCGTCCGCGCCGTCTGCGCGCTAGAGAAAAGCGCGATTATCCGCGTGACTCATCCAGCCTTCCGTCCCTCTCCGGCGCACGCAGCAGCCCGGCGCTCGTCTCGCAGCGCCAGTGCGGGTGCTTGGCCTGGCCTTGCGGGGTTCTTCGTGGGTTCTCCGGCCGGGTGGGGTGGGGGTGAGAGGCGGGGAGAGGTGGGTGCCAGGCTCTCTGGCGGGACTGGGAGCCCGAGAAGGCCTGAAAGGGCGGAAAGATGTTGGGGCGGGTAGCGGAGTTATGGTTTTGATATTTCGGGGAGCCAGGAAAGGAGTGAGAGGGCTCAAGACTGACTTTGTGGGGTGGAGGGCAGAGGGGCTGTGAGGCGCAGACACCTTTCAACCGGGGAATCTCAGGCAGTTTACAAGCCACGCACCCTCCTTTCCACTTTATGGATGGGCAAACTGAGTCATAAAGAGGTGAAATGTGGAGGTAAAGGTCAGACGGGGAGCTAGCTTCCTTGGCTCAGGTTCCGAGCGGTCAAGCCCACCGAGAGGCACTTAGCTGGAAAGTGGCCACGTACCAGGAAGTGGAGCGGTGCGGTGGGACCCCGGTTCCCGAAAAAGGCACAACGAGCTCGGCGGCAGTCGTTCCTGCCCACCGGGAAGAGAAGAGGAAACGGCGATCGTTATTTCAGTCTTATAACTTTGCCTCCCCACCCCCACACTCCCCTAAGTTTGTGATCAGTAATTTTCCAGCCGGGAAATGTTTTCGCCCTCATCTCTACAAACAGTGACTTTTTGTTTTTTTCTTCTTTCCCAAACGTGAGTGTGGTGTTCGGTTTCGCCTGCTAAACGTAGGCTTGCGAGGTGTTTGGTTTGGATTGAGGCGCACAGAGCCGGGCTCCACGAGCCTCCTCACCAGTAAACGCTGTCGATCCCAGGAAAGACAAGGGGAGGAGGAAAAGGGTCCAAGCCCCAACACTGGGCGGAGTGTCCGCTCACTGTCATTGAGCTCTCTAGTTGCTTCATACTTTAAGTCGTTGTCACCTGTTTGAGTTCTGCGATTCTGGTACCTATTAGGTTTCCTCAGAGTATTTGTTAGCCCTGAGTTTTTCACTTCTTGCCGACCACAGAAGCATTCTTGGAATGCACCTCATCCCGAATGAATCCACTCGGCCCTCTCTGCCAACGACAGGAATCCCTCTGGGTCTAGAGAGTTGGACGAATTTGAAGATGACTTCCATCCTTCGGCCAAGGCCTCCAGCGGGAGGGGGGCGGGTAGGGGATGCTTTGGCAGGGAAAGCCCGACCTGGAGGGTTCAACCTCACTCCATAGGAGCAGGCCAGTTACTTTAACTCTGAAAACATTGCCCTTTCAAAGGGAGAAAGCAAGAAAGGAAAACACCTGCTACTCCTCCCCCCACTCCTTTCATTGTGATGGCAAAAATTTCTTGGTATGCTAGAACTCAAGCATTGCATGAAAATGTTATACACTTTTCCATCAAGGCCTAAGTTCCTAAACCCCAGTGGACTTGGATGAGCCCTTGATTGGTGGCCATTTCCCTAGGCATGTAAACACCTAAATCAGGACTTGGAGTTTCTAACTAAGTAGCGAGTGCATGAGGTTTTTTTTTTCTGCTTTGCTCTTCTTTATCTAAAGCAGTAACCCTTCCCCTTCAACAAAAGTAACCACCACAATGAAAAAACAATATTACACAGATGAATTGCAAAGACACTATTCTTATGTCATAAAATCAAGATTCTGAAATTCAATTAAAAAGATGAACTTGTGGTTTCCAAACAGCCTTCAGGAGGAGTAAAGCGAGTGTCGCTTTGTGGCAGGCGACGATCTAGTTATTACTCTGATTGCATCATAAAGTGAGATCTCTATATTTGCCCTGGATTTCTAAAAGTGGTAAGGAACTCCAAGTTCACAAATCAACTCCTTTCAAGGCAGGTGCCTGGTGTGACAACAGGGTTATGACCCTCCCTCGTTTCAGAACAGGTAGGTCCAGAAGAGTTAAATCCCTGCCCTGTATAATTTATAAACATGAGGCTGAGTAAACCTTTGATGACTAAATTGCACTCTAAAATAATAATAATAGAAGACACCCTTTAAAGAAGAATTACATACTTACTGGTGACTTTATTTCAGCAAACTGATATTACAAGTTTTGTGGTATGGATGTTAATTATTAATGTCCTTGGAGTTATAAAATAGATTTTTTTTTTCCAAGCACGAACTGCATTAGTTGGCAGAAGATGTGATGGAAGCTGTCAGTGTTAGGGGATTGGCATGGAGACTTGGAGGGGTGTGATAGATTGAAGAGGTTCAACGTGCTTCAAATGAAGGACTCTGCACCCAGGACTGAGCACCAGATCGGGGCAAATAGAGCTCCCCAGGGAGCCTGGCTGCACCCTGGCCTGGGGTATCTGCAGAACTGCCACAGGACTCAGGAAGAGCTGGGGTTTTTGTTTGTTTGTTTTTTGATATTTCAGAAGGTGGCAAGGCTTTTCTCAGCCTCCACTTTCTTTTCTTGGAAACTCCAGCCTCTCTTTCACCTCGGTCACATGTGAGATGTTAAGAAAGCGGGCTTTAGCACGAAATTGCCTGGGTTTGTGTTCTGGCTCTGCTGCTTTCAGCTGTTCAGGTTATTTGACCTCTCCTGTTTCTTCTATAAAATGGGGATAGTTACGGTACCTACTTCTTAAAGTGATGAGGATTATAAGTGGAATTATCCAAGTAAAGTATTTAACGTAGGCCCCGGTGCTCAGTGAATGATAGGTATTACCGTCACCAGTATTCTCCAGGGCACCATAGGCTTCATAAGGGCAGGAGCTATTGTTTTGTTCACTGCCATATCCCCACGTCCTGGTACAGTGCCTGCCTGGTACACAATAAAGCTCTGTGTTTGTTGAATGAATAATGGACTTTAGCAGGAAGGTGGTCTTTCTTTTCAGCTCTCCCTTGGAGGCTTATGAATCCCCTTTTTTGTCAAGAGCTTCCATCCACCCAGAGTCTTATCCTGATTTTTCCTCCGTTGTTTGATCACCCTTGTCCAGCTTCCCAAACTAGAAACCTAGATTCTCCTCATTTTCTTTGGCCTGGGCATTTAGGCTTCCCCAGAGCTCAGCCACTTCCATTCCTAAATGACTCCGCTACCTTTGACAACATTGGGCCGCCTTGGTTCAAGCCCTCCTCATTTATGGCTTTTAATTATTATGGTGGCTTCCCCCAACTGTTGTCCTCCTCCTCCCTTTTCTCCACCGCCTCCCCCATAGCCCCCCTGGAATTTCCCTGCTAGATGGAATCCATTTTTATCACAAATCCCTTCTTAGTCTCAGGGACCACACTCCTTGTACTAGGGCCCTCGACAAACTTTGCAAACTCATCTCTAGAGACTGACCGTACCCTCCCTAAACTTTAACTGGATGTTCTCTCAAGTCTGAATACACAGTGTGTTTTTCTCCATTGGCTCTTTTTCCCTCGGCGGCCCTCATCATCCTCAAACTGCAGAGCCCCTTTTAATTGTCCCGTGGTCTGTCCATCCCCATCTAGGTTAGTCCTCTTCCCTCTGAGCTCCAATAAAGCTGGGTGGTGACTCTGCTACGCCATTTACCCAGGGGACTCCGTGATCTGGTGACTTGTTCGTGGGGCTCCTATTCCACTGTGGCATCTTTAGGACAAATGTCCAGTGAGTATGCATTTTAGAATGAAAGAAGCAAAGCTGCCTTGGTAAAGTGATTCATCTGGAAACCCTGCACCCTCCTATCTTGTCAGTAATGTTTCTTTCTGGTTCAGAGTTCACTGGCTTGGTTTTCTGTTTTCCAATCCCTCTCTTCCCTCCACCCCTTCTTTTCTTCCTTTGAAAAGCACTATGAAGGAGACAGAAAATAAAGTCCTTCATAACTCTGCCCTCACAAAACAGACAAACAGGGAGAGAACAGTCCTGGCCAAGGCATTGTAATAAAACAAACTAGAGGGCGCCTGGGTGGCTCAGTTGGTTAAGCGACTGCCTTCGGCTCAGGTCATGATCCTGGAGTCCCGGGATCGAGTCCCGGCATCGGGCTCCCTGCTCAGCAGGGAGTCTGCTTCTCCCTCTGACCCTCCTCCCTCTCATGCTCTCTGTCTCTCATTCTCTCTCTCAAATAAATAAATAAAATCTTAAAAAAAAAACAAACAAACTAGAAAACACAAACAAAAATAACCAAAAGCCAAACCAAAACCAAATGGAGAAAGAGTCAACTCTTTTCTGTAGCCAAATCCATTGCCTTTCAAAACCCAAACATTGGGTATTGAAGTTTTTAGAGCAGAAAATGAGTCACAGACATTTAAAAATCAATTCTCAGAAATTTAAAATCTTTCTCATGAACCTTTAGGTTTGATCAC